TGTCTTGTTATGTTAACAGTTCTTCTAAATTTAGTTAAAAGGGAGTAAGTAAGTGCTAGATTTTGTGTTCAAAGATCAAAGTTTGTATGTGATATTAAACTATTTATTTTATAAACAAAATAAATATTGTTAATATTTCAGTAATGCGTTTTTCCTTGTTATTAAAAAAACTCACTCATATGTAAAATAAATGTTTGCTTTTAGAAAAAAAAATGGATAAAATGGTAGTATTTGTTTATTTGACAAATAAAATGTTATGGCAAATTTGCATTTATAGCATCTGATTTAAGGTTACCTCTAAGTTCTATTTAAGCGCATAAGTCGGCTTCCCAAATCTTATAATAGTAGCCAGTCTTTTTTCATTTTACCCTTTTTTATGTTCGGTAAACCATTATAGAAATGTATAAATGCCTCAAATGGATAGTTCAAAAGCAACATATTCTTTCCTGGGATGGGGGGTGATTATCCTGAGGAGTGTCCTAGAATCGTCCGACACACCAGTCGCTGTAAACCGCCAAACCATATTTTGTTTTACTTTAATTTAACTGAGTGGCTTTGTTTGGTCAAAAATAAGGTTCATTTCTAAATCGAATTCTTTTGTAAATATTTTTCCAATGTTGTTTTATTCGGGGTTGTTTACTCGGCCACGTAAAACCACCACCCTGGTCCCATAAATGGACGTTTATCCAAGAAAGTGTGGAATTATAGAATTATATCAACGATCGATGTTGTTGCGATTGTAGGGTAATTCCCCCATACTTGGACCCATATTATACAGAAATAATAATTTTTAGAATGTAGATATTTCGTCCCTGACAGTCTATGAATTATAAGTTGCGCGTCTGCATCCAAAGATATTCAACAGATTTAAAGAAATTAATGGAAGATACTGTATTGACTCCCGCCTATTCAATTGGCAAAAATTATCAACCTTTCAAATACATAATTATGAAATTTGTATTTCCTTAAAGCATTTCTGGTGCTTTTTACTGCGTACCATTCAAATAGAATGTAGTCTGCTTTTCAGTTTTGTTGTTGCCATGCACTCAACGTCCTCAACGGGAACATTCTGATTTTAAGAAATCATGACAAAAATACAGTGTCCGTAACATTCACAATTTTTCCTCATTGGAAAGATCAAGTTATTACCGCAATTCATCAAAGATTGTTTCAATAATCCATAGCACTGTGAAATTCATGAAACCTAGGGTTCGTGTACATGCATACAGAAAATGTAGCCCCTTACTTGGGTGTCATCTACAGGGATATTGTCCCACATTTCTGTGTGGTTAAGATTAGAATTTATGAAATGGCAGATATGATGCATTTTCACCTGACAAGTAAAACTATAATACTGTCTCCACGGGTGGGCTGCATGAGTAGCAAAACTCGCCAGTTAGGGCAGCGTGGCAGTAACAGCTCTACTTAATTCCACTGGACGTTCACTACCCCGGCTCAACCGGTACTTTGTGTTGGTCGTACGGGCCAATGTCATCGCCTTGTAAAAATCAAATATTTTCCGCCAAATATTGCGAGGAAAGCGATGAAACGGCATGTTTTAATCTTAAAGGGATAACTCATCATATGAAATTCATTTTTCATAATAAATACATTGTAAACAACCCATTAAAACATGATAAATTCCATTTTCCCACCTAAACAGTGGTTAGCGCAATTATTCTGGATTTTGTGCTTGTCATCAGACCAAGTGGGCCTTCATTAAGTTCATAGATGGCTATATCTCAGTAATAATCTCTTAAGAGAATATTACAAAAAATCGCATTTTTTTTTAAACTTATAGGCTAACTTTGCTCACGGGCAAAGTTTTGCTTCTACCTGCCCAAAAAGCACAGAGTCCCAGCAAAATTTTATGTAATACTGACATTGACATAACTTCGTTACCGCTGTTATTTTCACAAAGATATGCACGGGCACGGCACTCCACTGGCCGCAAGCTGACGATCCGAGTTTTATATCTTGACAGTTATGACAGCTTTCTTTATTTTAATAACTGCTATATATAAAAAAAAAGATATATTAAAAAAGAGATAAGAATGAACCAGTTTGTTCAATAAATTGCGTGTTTCTACTATAACCTAATTAAGAGCGCATTCTCAACGAATTAAGCCAGGCTTTACAAAGCCGGTGACCTAAAAATGGCGGACGTACATGAAAGAAAAACCGCCTAATCTTTTAATAGTCTCTCCGCCTCTCACACGCCTCCCCACACGTCGTCCCTGCGGGGTACAGTAATTAAATCTCGGCTCCGAACATTAATATTTCCGTGAATATCNAGAGACGAAAAAGGAATAATTTGGCCCGTAGAGCAGCAATGAATCGACTATCTACGGAGATAATATCACCAGAGATATTCACGGAAATATTAATGTTCGGAGCCGAGATTTAATTACTGTACCCCGCAGGGACGACGTGTGGGGAGGCGTGTGAGAGGCGGAGAGACTATTAAAAGATTAGGCGGTTTTTCTTTCATGTACGTCCGCCATTTTTAGGTCACCGGCTTTGTAAAGCCTGGCTTAATTCGTTGAGAATGCGCTCTAACAGACTAACAGCGACCCCTGTGGCCAACGTTGTAATAAGGGTACAAGTGGGCGTTTGAGTACCTGTTGCAAAACAAGTTGTCCACTGTTTATACAGCATACAAGAGTATAATTATCTTATATAATAATTAGTAGAGCCTACATAATTATATACGGTTAGGGTGGGTCCAAGCTACTCTCTGACCACAGGGTACGCTAGTAGTCTGTTACAGCCAGTACTTTAATTTTGTATGCTATTTTAGTCTATAAGGTGTCCCAGTATCGTTTCAAACTATTTCAGTTTTCGCGAGTGTAATTTCTGTTTATAGATTTTGATAAAAAGATGATAAATTAAGACATATTCAAGGCTGTTAATCACACTAAATGTGCCAAATATCCGTAAGTCGTCAGTAAGAAGCAAAACTATTTGTCCTCTCGGAACAGTTTTCACTTTCCAACCAATAGGAAGGCTTATATATAGCAGTTTTTATATAGCCGGTAATAATGCTAATTTGTACTTTGCGATTTTGACGGTTCTGGCTTGATTTCTGAGTTGTACTCACTCACGTTTTCCTATGACGTCACAAGAAGTAGTGATATCAGAGTTCTAGCTAGGGTGCATTCCCAGAGATTTAGCTCGATCCAGAGATTAAGATTTAGATCGACCTAACTCCCTGGGAGTTCAAGCTAAATTGCAGTCAGCCCAGCGCGCACCATAGTTAATTACCCCCTTACAGCTTTTAGTAGGCGGGACAGACGCTTAAGCCGGCTAAGCTGACAGTAATATAGTGAGTCTCCCCACAGGGATAGATCGATCTAAAATCTATGGGAATGGGGTCCTAGTTATAGCTTTAGCTATTGCATGGGAGCACAATTATTCTATTGTTCCGTCGAGGGATAGATACCTGTAAAAGAAAAGTGTGGAAGACAAATTTATCAGGAGCTCAATCGGGACGAATTCGCTGTCAGTTCAACAGCTCTGCTATACAAATACAGCTTCCATTTGGATCAAAAGGTTTGAGATTTCTGGAAAAAGTAGTGCAGCATCTTTGCCTCGATTGTCTAGATTAATAACTGTCAAGTATTTTCAAAAATCACTACATTATGTTGCTTTTATAAAGATGATTTGTCACTGCCTTTGTCACTGTTTTCAGACTCAATTGCTTCAGTAATATCTATGTGTATGATTGAAGATGTTTCTTTGATTTGAGATTATTATTTCTTTATTCAGAGCCATAAAGTTTGAAAAACAATGAAAATTTCACTAGTTGCCGCTGCATTGTTACTGGTGGCACATTTGGTGGAAGCCACCAGTGAGAGATCAGGGAACGAAGTTTATTCTGCCCAGAAACGATCTTCACTCACGAAAGGTCTTGCTCGCCAAAGAGCATGCGGCTCCATTAACTGCAAGTATGTAAATCTGTACTTTGGTGTTAACTATTGTAGAGCCAATTTAGAATAAAATATCCTGATTGAAGAATATTCTTCACATTTGTCGGGTGCTTATTATTATTTTCTGTTTGCTTTTAGAAAAATTTACAACACACAGTCCAATAAATTTTCTAAATATTGTAACTGCACTTATTTTGTGCCCTTCTCTGCAAGGAAGATTCCAGAAGAAATGATAAATAGAAACATTTTTATACACGTTGGGCCTATATATAACAAATTAATGAATAAAAATAAAGACACACCAGTAAATGAATGAATGATTTCCAGATTACTACATGGAGCTGGGGACGCAATAGCCGTCTTTGTAATAGTGCCCAGTTTATCAGATCAAAATTAACTGTTTAATGCATTTTCTACTTTCAGGGTGTCGGGCTGTGAGTCCAGGGGTGGCTGGTGGTTTGTGTCGAATTCCGCCGGCTGGAACATCCGGGGCTCTGACCGCGGTTGCTGTGGCAACTACGGTGGCTGTTGCAAGCATGCTTCAGACTTGTGCTACATACACGACTACACGTGTCGCTGTTGTATACCTAGATTGTATTGTGGACCCCAGTGCAAGAAAAATTCGGGCTGTTGACACCTTGTCCTAAATATCATTACTTGAAACAAACTTGCTTTAACCAGGCTACGCCCGGTTTGCCCTTTCTAAAGGACCCTAGACTTTGCTGACATTGGAAATAGTTCCTATACAGATTGTAGTAGATTTTTCATTTTAGTGTAAACTTTGTAATATCCACCTTTGGCACAAGCTCCTGAAAATGAAATGACTACATAAATGTTCAAGATCGTCACTACGATTGGCGTTTGTAAAAGAACACTATATTAGACCATTAACCGTTTCAGCGGCCAAAATGGTCATCATATATGCATAACAGAAATCAAATAAAACGATGTTTGCCAATAGATAATGCTTCATGCATTGTGTCTTCTGATATCTGCAAGAACCCGTGTATGATATCATTGCTCCCTACACTTTGCAAGATTTGAACTCGAACGCCAAATTATGAAGGAAACTCCTGCGCTATACAAGCAAATGTGTAAAGTCACAAAATATCCTTGGACGCAGTCAAATTGATCTCAACTCTGAGACGTACAATGTATTTTGACCGATAAGTGAACCTGCAGTATTTCTCAGATCATAATGGCAAACATGATGATAAATTATCTTTTTAACGTCTGAAATCCATAAAATGACCACTTGACTTAAATAAAAACATATAAACTTAATAAAAGTTTATAAATAAGGATTGTTAAGATATGTATTTACGAAAACGCCTAATTCGGAAGAAAAAGTGCAATTGCGTCAAGGTAAATACTAGTACGTCCGTCTAAATGGATGTGTTGGCTGGGTTTTATATATAATAAAAAAGTATGGGAACCGTTTACCCGAGGAAAATCAATTTTTTTTTGGCCAAAATGAACAGTTGTTATCTCTTTCATAGAGTCCAAAACTTTGCACCCCACTACTCAGTGCCTTCATCTGTGATACTTACATTCTGTGTTTGGGGTGGGGTATTTTCCTGTCCCTTTTGTTAACACAAAGACACGGTACAGGGGTATTCGTGTATATTTAAAAATTCATATCACAACTGTTGTGGACAAAAAACAGACAACTTTTAATGTTTATGCCTTTATGATTTCAGCAAACCCGAATCACCTTCCAGAGATGGGGGAGGGGGGGCATGTTTGCGCCGTATCTTTCAACAAAGACTAGTTGAAATCGAGGCTTCAGTACGGAAGGTGGACAACTGTATATAATCGTTTGCATCAGGTGAGTATTTTGGTGAGAGGTGTTCAGATTGGACCGAGGTCAGTAGAAGATGGAGAAGAAAGCAGCCTTGTGTTTCATTACTACAAATTCTACGAAATGGTCGGAAATCTGGGACTGAAATTGGCATCGATCTGTTGTAAGTACTGTGCATGTATAGATGATGGAAGATAACATTTGTGAATGATATTTGCGAAAAATGGGGCATTTTGGACATAAAACATCATGTCGACATTTTGTCTTGACGTCAACAATATTTTCCCTTAAAAGTCCAAATTCAACTTGACGTTTAAATAGTTAATTTTTTGTTAATTATTTTCAGATGGAATGCATTTGCCAATAAACAGGTGGTGAGAGGTTTGCTCCAGGAGTGAACGCGTCTTCCGTCTTTAACAATGTAAGGACAATTTGGCAGGTAACTACATTAGCTTAATGTTTTTTGTTTTTTTTTAATTCAAAATCCACCTCAGCAAATCCCTGCCCGCCAATGTGCACATGTCGTGACTATGTAGTTCTTCTTTCTAAGATCTCATAAATTTTGTTTTTACTACACTCCTGTCATATGTTTATTTCTAAAATTTCACTTTATACGTAATGCGAGGGTCACTATCTTTTTAGTAGCACCACTGATATTCTAAAGACAGAATGTTGTCACGTTACAGTGTGTACACGGTGTAAAAGAATAGAAATTATATTGTTTGAAAGTGCATGATTACTTAGAACGTGTCAGCTCAGTATATGTATACAGTGTATTCGTCTAATTTAAAAGTTGAAAATGGTTTGTTGAATATTACTATCGAAATCGGTTACTGTAAAATTAAAAATTGCTTTATATAATCAACCCTTAGACATTGTTTTGTAAAGGTGGATTTTTTGTTTAATTTCAGTGACTCAACCGTGCACGAGAAGATTGAATACGTTCTCCATCAATGACGTCAGACTCGTGTTCCACAGCGGCTGCATCCATGTCAAGATTACATGTAGCATGTCAGAGTTTGTCTGCTAGTAAATTTACAGGGCTGAAACTTAATATGAAGTGTAACGTTTGCTTTGGATTAATTGCGAATCGGCTGTAGTTATTTTCAAACTATCACAAAGTAGTGTTCAGGAAGAGTAGTGGTTTATTTTTGTGTAGGTGTGGTAACATTAACAACAAGCGCATGTAGGACGACCGGTTTTCTTTTTGATGGTAACATATTTGTGAGGGCAAATCTGAAATTTGGCATTTCTCCGTGAACAATTATTTATTTAAGATTGAATTATAGTATTTATTTTGGTGATGTTTACTTTTGGAAAGAAAGAAAACGTCCCAACCGTGTAAAATGCACTTATTGAAGTCTTTGGAATTTATAGTGTGTGTTCAGTTGAATAAAAAAAGAACGAGATGTGCATCCACCAAAAATTAATAAATTGCAATAATTTAAATAATTTTATTTAGGAATATTATTTTCAGAAGCGGTCTATGTAGGAGTGACATTCATCAGAAACTTTTATACCCTGAATTTTCGACAAAGTCTTGACAAAGTCAAATGAATCATTTCAGCTGCCGTTTTTTTATTTTTTTTTTATTTATTTTTTTTTTTTTTGAAAAATGAGTGCTCGATGAAGGTTTTAAGACTGCCAATTTCTGTCAATAAAAAAATGTGATACAAATTTTAAATAGCCAAATTTACAGAAAAGTTTTTTTAAAAACTAAAGCATTTTTTTGTAAATTTACTTAAATTTTGGCTAGCAGGCTTTTTAGCCAATTCTTTGAAAATCCATCGAATTATGATACAAAGTTTCCTTTTTATTGTGTTTTGCTTCTTTAAACAAAATATGAATAATTGTCATTCTCTCAGTATAAAAACTTTATCCAAAAGTGTGTAGATCAGCGCTCTGTTTAAGGTTGGCCTTGTGCCTTGTATTTTATTAGTTGACTTTTTGGTCGCAATCAAAGAGTGATTGAAGAATAACTTCTTATCGGATGTCAGTCCTACATGTCCTGTTGAGTTATAGTGCTGAGTGTCACTTTATCACTGAACACCGGAGACCAGTCTTTTAAAAGTTTATTAGCATTGTCTTAGTAAATGTGCATTTGCATAATCTTTTTTCCGTTCTTCTTTGCATGTAAAGTCTTAGTAAAGTGAACTAATATTTACGTAATCTTTTCCGTTTTCTTTACAAATTATTCTTTAAAATGGCTATGGTTGGAATAAGCTTGCAAGTTGGTCATGTCATCATGACGTTTCTGATTCGCATGCAGTACAAAATTCAGTTTTCGCTCAAAGTCAAAGTTGTGCCACGAAATACATATTTTAGGATTTCATGAGAAGAAAACAAGTTTGTGTTGGACATGAGCAATATTTATCGATGAACAAAACTATCAAGAATTTTACAAAATTTAATTATTTTGACTCCCTATTATTGTTTTGTGAACATCAGCAAGACGACATAGTGCTTGCATGTGGGTACATGTGTCGGGATAGGATTAGGTTATATGCATATTGAATTTTCTACACCGTTCACATCAGTGAATTTAGACAAACATTTTTTGTTAATCTTGTTGGTATTATGTCTATCATAATTTTCCTGAACTTCTTTATAAATCTAAAGGCCACGCCGGCCAAGTAGAAATGTTCAAAATGCATAGAATCTCGACATGATTTAGTTAGATAGAGAACCAGTTTTGCTTGTATGTAAAAGCTTAATTCACATTTCATAGTACGTTTTATGAAATTGCCATTAATGTAGAAAAAGGGTATTTCAAGTTTTATATTCTGTGTTATTATGCTGTTACTTTTTGTATTCATTTATGCCATAATAAATGTGCTATATTGTTTTATGAACAAAATAGAAGTTATTTTTCTTAACTACAGAACCGCCGACTCCTCTTACTATTCTGTGTTCGTAGCACTGTTTTGTAGAAGTCAAAATTCTTTATTTGGATTTATTTTTGCAAAAGGCAATTTGCTGGGACCCAGTGGCGCCAGGAATCGAACCTGCAACCTTCTGTCTGAGAGACAAGCGCGTTACCTACTCCTCTAACTGTTCCCACCCACCCTCCCCAGGTAGACTTTCTTCTAATAGTAACCAAAGGAAATTTTTAAAAGGTCTTTGGGAATTACTTGCTTTTATCCAAGTACGCGAGCAAGAAAGTGAACCCCAACCCGTAGGTACCAATGAACATGAAAATACTACAACGCATTGAATAATTTCGGTATTTCTTTATTAAGACCAAAACAAATTTCCATTCCATATATGCATGTATATTTAACCATCTTAAAACTTCAGTTTGTGCGACTACATTTGTGATTCTTTTTAAGTTTTGAATGTTTGAATAAAATGATATAAACAAAGTCATTGAGATCTTCATTAGAATTCACTAAAAATGTAACAAATTCAATCTATTTGATTTGACAAATAAAACTATCAACTAAACTTCTTATGATTGATCTTATGTTTGATATTAAAGAAAATATTTCAGAAAAGACTTTTTTCTTTAAAAAACAACGCCGGATCTGGAATCTACCCCACCTTTAACCTCAGAAAAATCGAAAAGGGAACCCACTCTGGACTAACATTATCTAGTACACATAATGCTACAAATTGCCTAGAATTTCACAATTTGACTACATTTAAATGTTCCGGATCCGACGTTGTTTTTTCTCTGTTTCTAACCATGCAGTATTATAAGAATCATTTCAATAACTAAATACCAAAAATCATGAGCAATTCTACAACTCTCGTGACAAATGTTTTGCTGTTAACGGAACATGAATTAACCTCACATAGCACATGTAGAGAGTAAACATTTTTACACCTGCTGATTGATCTAATAAAAATAAGAGAATTTTTTAAGTTGGGCAGATTTTGAAGATTGTATCAATGGTCCCTTCAAATTTACACAGAATCTGATATATATCATTAATTTTTTAAAGAAAGCATCATCATCCCTGAGGCCATTTACATTTTTTACGAAATTCGCAGTGTACATGCTTGTAGCTTGTAGCCTAGACATCAGAAAATTGGATCATCAACAAGAACAAGCTTATGAAATCAAGTATTCTAATCTCTTATCTGAGCATTTAAAGGAAAGACAACGTTAAAGGCACATAGTGAGCGCTGGGTCCGTATGTAGCTAATATTTTATTTTTCTAGAAATTTCTACAATAAATCACCAAGGTATACGGTATCCAGAACAGTTCACAACAATACCATACACAGAGTCATTAATTTTTTTTTAGAAATTTTAACAACGAATCACATAAAGGCAAGGTATACGGTATCGAAAACAGTTCACAGCATTACGATCCATATACTCTCTTCTAGCTCCAAAAAAGCCCCTCTCGTAATGAAAATAGAAGCTGGTCAATTTCACTCACGGTGGCAAAAATTGAAATTTACAACAAGAAAACGCGTTTATATCAATTGTAAACGGCATTGAGACGTAATGGAGTCGGCAAATAACAACTAGACTATTTTTAAACTTTTATACATCGTACTTTTGTGAACGGTGTTATATGTGGTTTGGTGATGAAGGAAAATTGTTGAATTTCTCAGGATGTTATTTTCTAGGTAAAGGTGTAACGCGCACTATATGCCTTTGAATTGAAATTAAAACCCACGTTTTCGAAGAGAGTGATATATAATTTTTTATGCTGAACTCAAAGTACTAAAGAACAAGAAATTAAGCTATCCTGGTGAATACAATTATTATTCAATGTAATATCCCCTATTTGTCATTAATTTTTATTGGATAAAATTACACATTTTTAAAAAATATAGCTGACAAGACATAAGCAAAAACAATATTATGCAATGTAATATTGCCAACATTTAATAAATTTTAACTGGACAAATCAGAGAAGAATTTCATCAGCTGTGTTATGTTATAAGAATGAAGTAATTTTTCTTTAATCAACAACTTAATATTGAAATCAGGGAATGAGGCTATCCAGGTGAGTAATGATGAATGTTCTGTTAAACATCAAAATATTAGAAGTAAAGGTAAACTATTTTAATATTAAGTTGTTGATTGAAGAAAAAATAACTTCACTCTTTACTGGATAGAGGAATATATTTTCTTAGAGATATTTGCAAACAAGTTTTATAACTACCTATTTTCCTACATATACTATATCTCTCCTTCGCAAAAAGAATGAGAAAAATACACGCAAAATGTTTACTCGTACGACTATATCTACTAACGCAGTTCAATTAACATGAAGTGCATATGAGATATGAAGAGCTGGCGAAAATGTGGAGGAAGCAAAATGGGGAAAATATTGGGGTATTTCTAAACTTGTTTTTAACATTCAGGCACCAAAAATGAATCACAAATAAGTTATCATCAAATACCTAACATTAATATCTTGCAGTGTTGTACTTAATCGCTTGAAACTGATGTTTTCGTATACTTAGTACATGAATCTGGACCGCCTCGCATCCACTCCCTGGTCACTCAGAACTGATGAAGACGTGACATCTATTTCTGGAGAGATGGTTCAATATGATTCATGGGGGAGGAGGCAGGATATTTTGGACGCATTGCTTACTCAATTATCATCATTATCTGATAGGTGAACTCTCATTGACAATTTGCTGCAATAAAAATGCATAGGACGCATTTGTGTTTGATATATTTAAAAAAACGCCACTGATAAAATTAAAACTATACCCTAACACCCCCAAATGAAACAATATTTACGTCACTGGTTATGATCAAATGCACTTTTTTTTATCTGAACAGAGTTTAGTATATGTGACCGACCTGAGCGAACTATGGCGCCATCTGCGGTTATCAGCAGACTATAAATTTATAAACTTTAAATCATGTGATCATATTTGAATGTACGATGTTGTAGTCTTCATTTACCTTCACAATGACAGATAAACTTGCGAATATATGTCTATGTGTGTGTGTGGAACCTGGTCATGATAACGAAGGCGTTTATTAAATTATTCAAGATTTTTTACAGAATTTTAGCCAGTGGCAGGAAAGGAGGATTGATTAATTGGAGAAAAATACCACTTATCCCAGGAAAATCAGTGCAATAATTTAACACGTCAGCACAAACGCCGTGAAAATACGTTATGCCTATATTTTGCCGAAGGATTTCATTCAAATTGATGTTTTTCACTTTGCATCATACAACCTATTATCATAACACCCGTCTGTACTGTCATGCACAAGTTATAACAGTTTTATTCTACCTCCCCAATATCCTCCTGTCATTTCATGCTGTCAATATTGACATATACAAGATTTCAACATATATCATACATCACATGATTCTTTCACATACAGCACTCGAATAACATATTTTACGTAATAAAAGAAATGAAATTCCATTCGTATCAAATATTTTTCTTCGGAAATTGATATTTCGAATTGTTTCGCTTCCACCTGGTGTTTAGTAGAAAACACAATTAGTGATTTACGAAAAAGTTTAAAACAATAGGAGGCGTGTTAAGCTGTTAAACTGATTGCATTCAGCAGAGTTGGATCAATCTACGTAGGATGATAGTTTTATTGGGATTGAACCCTTAGTTCATTTAAAATCTTATTTTTATCGTAGTGCTCTTAATATTTTGTCTAGAACTTTAACCCTCTGGGTTATCAATATTTTATCAATAAATAAGAAATAATCATTATTATACAGGGTGATATTCTGGCGTCTGTTCTGTCTCAACATGATTGTGACGTCTACCACAGAATTGATGATAATGTGTTAGGTGTGACAAGTCGATGACGGCTTAGTTTTAAGGTGACACGATGAGTG